CTGCAATGTACAGATAAATAAGCATACTTGAACGTATGGGAGACGTTAATCTTATGTAATCTTACTAATAAGAAGCTTTTGATAATATCAATATTGTATGTCTCATGGATATACTCAGATTGTCAGGTATCAAGTCACCGTTAACAGAATGGTTTACTTTGCATCCACATAATCGAGTTTTCAAGGTTTGGGTGCAATTTGCTTTTCTTAGGCTGCACAATGTTCAAGTTGAGACTCCGGGCATCAGTAGCAAGACCAATTCTGTTTCTGTTTTGAATCAATCACATTCCTTAACAAGTATAGTCTAATTTACCACTGTTTTGTGACAATGTTAGGCTTTGCAGAGCATTTTGCAAGCGAGACGACACTACAAGGGGATCTGACTAGACATCATAGTTGTTTGGATAAAAGTGAACTTACTTTCAACATTTCAAAGCCTTATGAAGAGTGTCTCCAATCTCTGAATCTTTATCCATCAGAGTATAGGAGTCTTGCAGGTGACCTTTTAATGATTTTTGGCATGCGAAATACTCCAATTCGTCTTCTTAACTACTTCGTCAAGTCCAGTCTCAACATACATCTCAGGGGAAACACCCAGAATTTCGAGATCCAACATAGAAGAATGGACTGCATGCACACCATCTACACTTTAAGAATAGTCAAATTCCGGGATTCCCTACCGACGAAGGTGATGTAAGCAAACTTTTGGGAGGCTTTCAAAACAAAACCCAACATAGTCTAATGGACTCAGAACAGAGTCTCACTATAATTTATCAATGTTACTCTTTTAATCGTTAAATATACCTAGGTTTCTACTTGATGGCATCGTTGATCGAATCCTACTAGATGAAGAAGGGCAATAATCTTAAGCTTGTTCTGTTCTATCCTCAATCATTCGAATCATTTGAATAAAAATGATGCCCTTGATTTTTATATTCCTCTGAGCAGTTGCATTCTCTATTTCGATGTACCATGACGCAGATTTATGTAATTGGACAATAATATTTTCAATTACATCTTCATAATAGATTCTGAAGTTTGTAATAATTGATCCGCTTTTACTTTACTGAACTCATTGTGACAAAATCTGTGTATTGTTACTGACAATGTATCATATGCTCATTTCATATTTGAGTGCTATCTGTTTGGGAGATTACACATTCCATCTCGTAGGCATGTTCTGCTTCTTGAAATAGTAGTTAGTTGATGACAAATGGTAAAGTGCATTATTATTTATGTTAAGAGAATTTCACTTTAGGTTATCAGTTAACATTGGTGTCTTATCATTAGTATTATTAAGCAACTTCCAAGTTGTCATTTGAAAAAATACATTCGAGAATATCTGTTGTGGATTCTATTATGAATGAACTCCACCTTGTTTTGGTATATCTTAGATTTCTTCTGATAAACTCGAATGATAGCCAACATTTGTGTAATGAAGATGATAAATAGGTATGTGAAAATGTTGAAAACACTTTAGTCTCATTTTCAACTTCAACCTGAACAAGATTTACATCGTCATTTTACCGAACTGGAAAAATATAGTAATCAAACCCAGATAGTTTGTACATATATTCCACTGTGATCAGTTATGTATCAAAGCTATGGAGGTGTATAGAAAGTACCGTTTAACAGTTAACTCGTTTTTTGTAGATACAGGAACAACTTGACTATGAGATTGGTGAAGCAGTTTAATGACTACGACATGTGATTTTCTGTCCTTAATGATTCTTATAAATTTTGCTCTCGAACGTCATACAGAATAATATCTGGAAGCAATTTTAGAAAATTTTCACTTTAAACACAGTTCGTTTGAATATCGAGTATATGGTTAAAGGCGAATAATTTGGTTATTTTTTTTCAGAAGGGGTCACTGTAGATATTATAACAATCGTAATAGTTGAAACCATGAGTCAATTGAAACTAGGCCAACATGGAAAACCTGGAAGCACTGGATGGCCGTTTAGTCCTATTTCAGGATTCCTCAGTAGTGCGCAGCCACGGTTCATCCCTGCGAGATTCGAATCCAGTGCTCACAGTTTTTCCAAGGTGGTCTAACTTCAATTGAGTCTAGATCTGGACTATTAAAATTAACATTATTCAGTAGGCTTTGTTTCATGTGTATCAATGCACTTCATCTTAAACTGTTTTCATAAATCTGAGTTCTGCATTAACAAGTTCTAGTTCATCTTGGAGATTCGATGCGATTGCTGTATTTCTTTAGCTTGTAGCGTGGCGTCGCGAGTTGAGGTTGACTATGAACACCGCTACCAAGAAACACGTGCCAAGTTAATCAGAAGACGAAGGTTGAACGTAACCAAATAAATCCATAAAATCCCCGAGAAGCCAAATATCAGAAGACAGTTAATGGACCAAGTCGAGATATATATTTGCTGGCGATCTCGTGTTATCGAAAGGATACCGAGATCGTGCCAGGATACAAGCTTGGTTACAGAACGTAACCGAATTCGCGCAAAGTTACAATCAAAGAGTGAGTAAAAGAATGGAGGCACAGAATAGCTGTCATTAGCACAGTCAAACAAAAGCACGTTAAAACAAACACTGGTACAGTTGGTTATAATAATAATTGTTTTTATTAAACCAGTCGTGTTCTCGTGATAAATGTGAGTCACTACAAGCTTATTCGTCAATGACATTCATAATTATGTTTAATATGTAGGCTATGTATTTCAATCAAGCATAAAAATTATTTTATTCACAATATCCTGCATACAAATACGATTTCAGTACTACTATCTTAACTTCTATAAATAAACATGAAGAACAAAATCAAGTGAATGTACCTGAACAGGACAGATTTCACAAATGACATGAACAAGTGTAATTTGACTCAATAACAGGCATGAAATTAAATGAGTAAACCAATAAACGAACGTTTATCCGGGAAAATGATTTTCATTAGCTCAATACATACACCAACAAACTCTTTCAAATCAATCCATACAATTCGACATGTTAGACAGATCAAATACGAGAATAAGCAGCGAATTTCTAGAAAACTGGCAATCAGGTCAATTAGCAGTCACTGAACATACTGAAATTGGTACACATTATAAAACAAGAGCGAGATAGGTTATGATAAAAAAGGGGGAAATCAACAATAATGATGAATGTGGGGCTCGAAAGACAATAATATGCAACTGATAAGAGAAGAAATTGTCTTCGCCTACTTTTATGTGGAGGTAAGAAGGTAGTTGTTTCCTGGAGAACCAATGAAAACCATCCATCTCAAACACTGTCAGACAAACAAAACCCATCACTGAAAAATAAATCATTTGTCAAAGTCACGACACGTATGTAATTGGAAAATACGATCGTTGTGCAAAGCTATCTAGTCAATTTGGTTTGTAGTAATTTCAAGTATAATCGAAATGTGCTTCAATGTCTGTGTTGGGATATACAGAAAAATATCCCAAAAATTATGCTGTTAAGTCTAATGCTATCCTTGAACGTGAAATGGTTCCATTTTCTCATTGGTCAGTAGTCATATCACGTATTGTTTCCCTGCTGGTCGATATTTATTTCACGTTTCATTTTCCTATTCGTCAATATTCACGGTAGTTCTAACTGTATAAGTATGCATTTGTCTGTAAAGAATTATTCTTATTTTTCTTCTGACCACATAAACCATTTTCATCTACGGTTCATGTTCTGATATATTGGAGATTGGGTAACAGTATTGGGGTCGTACTGGGACATCTGAATTCGGTCAGTCGGTAGAAATTAGAGTAGCCAACCCGCGGTCCACACTAATTCAGCGATGGAGATTTAGTAAACAAGTTGTTGACTAACTATGGATCCAGCCAAATTAGAAAAATTGTTCGAACAACAGCTGAAGCTGATGGAGTTGATTACTCAGGCGCACATATCTTCTCGAGTCCCAAATACAGCGACAATCCTTAAATCAGTTGATGGTATTGCCAGTGGTATTTCGGAATTTCATTACGATCGTGACGCCAATATTACATTCGATACTTGGTTCAGGCGTTATGAAGACCTTTTCGAAGTTGACTTTGCTGACAGAGATTATTCGTGGAAGGTGCGTCCTGTCCTTCAGAAACTTGGTTCATCCGAGCTCGACAAGTATTGCAACTTCATTCTTACGCAGAACCCACACGACCATTCCTTGGACGCCACTATTCAATCTCTTCGGCACGTTTTCGGTTATCGTCATTCACTTTTCAATACTCCATATCGCTGCTTAAGACTGGTCATAAATGAGACCGATGACTCCTTGAACCACGTCAGCGTTGTGCGGACGGTTCAAGCTCCGATCCCCCGCTGAAGATCAATTCAAGCCCCTAGTACTCATATACAGTCTTCAATCACCCAAGTTCTCCAGCATCCGAACTCGGTTGCTTAACCACCTTGAACAAGACCCAACACTGTCGCTCAATGCGCTCATAGACAAGTACCAATGCATCATAAATTTTAAGTGTGACCCCACTTTGGTTCAATCTGGGGGCAAGGGTGTTTCCGAAGTTCATGCTGTTCAACATCAGAAAAAATCTTCAAGATCGACAACCCCGAGCCTGTCAAACGCCAGCGCTGTTTCTGACTCTAATCACTCCAAACCGTCTCAGAAGAAGCCCCGTTCGACATGTTGGCACTCTGGAGCATGACACTATGTGAAGTTTTGTCCATTCAAACAGCATGTGTGCGATCGCTGTCAGAAAATTGGTCACAAAAGCGACTTTCGCAAATCCGACCGATCCAATGACCATCTAAATGCACAGAAGCAGCGTCGTTTTCCGAAAAAGCCGATTATCTCATCAAAAAGTTCAGCCGTAGTCTCCTACACTCATGCCGCGACTCGATGCAAATTTCAGACCCTCTCAATCAGTGGTCAGCCAGTTCGTTTGCAGTTGGATACTGCATCAGATATCATTATTCTTTCGAAAATGACTTGGCGAAACTTGGACCAACCCGTCATCAAACCATCCACTCAGACAGCAGTCAGTGCCTGTGGGAGTCATCTCCAACTTCATGATGAACCCTATTGCTGCATTTCATTCAGAGGTACAACCTTCAATGGTGAGTGCTGTAAGACCTGTTTTGAATGTTTTGTGTGTGTGTGAAAATCACTCCATGTATACACTTGCACATTGTTCCTGTCGATTCCCTTAGTTCTACATTATTAGTCTTTTGATTACAATTGGGTTGTTAATATTTGTATTTTTTATCATAGTTTTTATTTTTCTTGCGCCTTCACTAGGTTTTTGTGTTTCTTCCCGAACTGCATCTATGTTGTTTTACTTGATACTTGTTCTTGGCGGCATCCATATTGATTTGCTCCTCTTTTTGTGCGCGTTCTTTCCTGTCAGGATGGAATAGCGTTTATTTGTTGTGACTGGTAGTTTTTCCCGCATCTTTTACCAACGTCCTTATTTATTGCAATTTAGATTTGATTGACTGAACAATTATTGGTTGAATAGCCGAGTGGTAATATTTGTTTAGGTCACGATGTACATTTAAATTTGTGATGAATTATAGAGTCGTCATTTACCGGATTACTTGTTTTGATTTTGAAGGGCAAGAGCGCGTGTCTAACCTACCTGTACGGCTATTCTGCAGTCCAAACCGTAGTTTGGATTCCACAGTGCTACATCACCAATTCTCCGCTCAACCTTCTAAGTTTAGATTGGTTCGAAGAACTTGGTCTCGCTGATATTCTCATTAGCGCTATCTGCAATCAAGTACAAACTACTGCCTCTACACAACAGCATTCTGCAGACCTTCAAAAACGATTCGCTGAACTCTTCCAACCTTGTTTCGGACTTTGTTCCACAACGAAAGCTGTTTTAAGACTGCAGCTAGAAGCCATGTCAGTTTGTCGCCAAAAACGTCCAGTTCCATACGCATCTCTACCACTGGTTGACGCTGAACTTCAACGTTTAGAAACTGAGGGTGTTTTAGCACCTGTTTCTTATTCATCGTGGGCTGCACCAATTGTGGCTGTAAAAAACTCATTGGTTCCGTATGCATCTGTGCAGACTTTTCCTTAGGACTCATCGCGGTTCCACAACAGCATCACTATCTGCTGCCAATCTCAGGTGACTTATTTACTATTTTGAATGGTGGTGTCTACTTTGCTAAGCTCGATCTGGCGGATGCTTACCTTCAAATTCCAGTCACTCTGGAATCGAGAGAGATTTTGACAATCAACACTCACCGAGGACTTTTTCAGTGTACCCGGCTACCCTCTGGTAACCATTAGCATGATATAGACGGGAGAGGATTCCGGTGCTACCAAATTAGCAAATGCCTTTTGAGCAATGCCTGTTACCGCTAAAAGATGTTCGGGAAGCTACCAGAGAGGACCCGATTTTCAAAGAAGCCATCACTTATATTCAGAGGACATGACCAGTTAAACAGCTGAGTAGTGGTATGCAACAACTAGCGAATCGTCCAGAGCCCTCTGTGTTGTTAACGATTGTTTGATGTTAGGTGAACTCGTAGTAATTCCAACAACCCTACGCTCCAAGTTCCTACGTCAATTTCACCATGGACACCCAGGGATAAACCGTATGAAATCCGTCGCACGCAGCTATGCATATTGGCCGAACATGGACAAGCGGATTTTCAACTTCGTCACAAGATGTTCGCATTGTCACACAGCTGCGAAAAATCCCCCTAACGTGCCTGCAGTACCCTGGCCAAAGTCAGAAAATCCCTGGTCGCGAGTACATATTGACTTCACCGGAACCCTATATGGTACCACATATGTGATACTGGTTGACTCCTACCCCAAATGGCTATTGCCAATTGCGCTACCCGCTACAACTCGAACCATCAAACTCCTTAATCAGATCTTCACTCAGCATGGTCTTTCAGAAACAATAATAATAGACAGTGGTTCACAGTTCACATCTAGCCAATTCTGAGAATTTCGCCCGCAAACCTCGATCATCCATGTCTGTTTTACGCCATATCATCCGCAATCTAATGAACAAGCTGAAAGGTTCGTTGATACGTCTAAACGAGCCATGCTTAAAGCGCGAGTGGAGGGGACCGCAGGAGATATCATAGAACGATTTCTAGTTGTGTACCGGACAACCTCAAATGACTTATTGCCAAACTTCCAGTCCCCTGCTGAGATGCCTATGGGGCGAAAGCTACGAACAGTTCGCGGTGTGATGACACCCGAACAAGTGGCCCAGCAAAGCCCCCAGATACAGATTACGAGAATTCCTTAAGTAGTTGGTGCGAAAGTGTATGCACGGGACTATAGACACGGATGTGATAGATGGGTAGACGTTGAAGTCACAAAGAAACATGGGGACGCCATATATGATGTCGAGGTGAACAAAGATATCTGTACCAGGCACCAGAATCAACTAAGGCCAAGGGAAGCTAGTGAGAAAGAAGCAATTATTAAACGCGTCCCACTCGACTTGCTGTTGGATACTTTTCAACTTCCACAATACTTAAAACAGAGAAAACTAAGTCACCTACTCTGGTAGAACATCCCTCTGTTTCTGGGTGGTTACTATGGCGGCCGGATCGCAGGCGAAGATAACCAAAGAAATGTCAAGTAAACCTTTGGATACGTCACTTTTAACTTAACTAAAGGGAGGTGTTGAGATATTCATAAAAATATCTTAAAAATTGTCCCGTTAAGTCTAATTCTATCCTTGAAAGTGAAATGGTGTCTTTTTCTTATTCATCAATATTTATTTCACGTGTCAATATTCATGGTAGTCCTAACTGTATAAATATGCATTTTTCTGTAAAGTCTGTTTGCATTTTAAGCGAATATTTTCAATCCAAACATCTAATTCAACAAACAAATGTCTATTTAATAGAACGTCTATTATGAATAACAAAGCAGTTTGCAATAATCTTCAAAATATTCCACCTAAATATCTGTGAACTGATTAAAACATTCAATGGAAAAGGATCTGTTCATCGTGTCTAATCATTGTCTTGTTATTCCAATTACAATCGATGACTGAATTCAAAGAGAATTTTAAACTGATGACAAGTACGATGTATTCATACATCAATAGGAAAACACAGTACAGTGTGGAAAACTGTCGTGATTTGCGATAGCTGTCCAGATAATATTTTGTGCAGGTAACCACCTGTAATTATGAAAGTGTAGATCAATACTTCATTATCGATGCATCCATATCAATATGTGTATCAGTGAAATATTATGCATTTGATGACTTAGAGTTACACATTTAGTAATTTCTGAACACTCATACATAACAAATAAACAGTAAGTGCCTTGTATTTTGACCCGTCAAATATTGACAGATGATCGTTTTTATAACAAAGCATCATATAGATTGAGCCGTTCAACAACTCAACGCCTCTCTTTCAGCGATTCAGCTTGGTATCTCGTTGTGTTTGCTTCGAAATGTTTCGTGATGAATGGTTGTGAATGTTGTGAATAGTAGACACTAATGCTTCAAAGTTCTAATTTAAACAGAACGATATCTTTGAATGCATAATAATCAATGAACGGTTATTTGTACTGGAATTCGCTTATTTATTCGGAACTTACAATTAACATTTCACCGCACCAACAAACCAAGGTTGCAATTAGTAAACTTTTCTAAAATAAAAAAAGAAAACAAGTCACCCAACTTCATCACAGATCTACATAGGTATCAGTGGATAAACAGTATTACTTTATTAATTAACTCTACCAATTTTAAACTATTATGTACCAATTCATGTATGAGACCGATCAAGCTGTTATTCTGAATTCGCACATTGTGTAATCATTCTGTCTCATGCTTGACTGTTGTCTAAACAACGAATCAGTTTCGTCAAAGACTGTATCATGAATCATTCAAGCTACCTATTCCACGAATATGAAATCGTTGCTTGAAGATGTACTGTTCTGGTTTCGCTGTAATTAGCATTTTGTTACACAATCACAATATATAGATAGTATTGACAATCAATTTCTCAAATGATAACGTAATTTCATGATGTTATGTACCAACAACGTGCAGTACAAACTTCACATCAGATTGCAGACGTTTACCAGTTTTAATCCATGTGTAAAGGAAACTGGATTGATTTAGCATTTATACGTGATGAAAATATGATGGTGGAAACACTGTTGTTAGGTTCGAATCCCGCGGGGTGCAGGACCGTGGATGCGCACTGCTGAGGAGTCCCATACTAGGACGAAACGGCCGTCCAATGCTTCCAGGTTTCCAATGGTGGTCTAGCTTCAACTGACTCATGATTTCAATCTGTGAAAATTTCTGAAAAAAATCTCCACAAACCCCTTCTGAAAACACTGTTAAATTTACTATGGCGGTGAAATGATGTGAATGAATTTTCAGCGCAGCCAAACATGTATTAGAAAACAAAGATTTGTTTGGAATATTCCTCAATGAAATACGAATTGAAAATGTATTTCTATTTCAATGTTGGAAACGTTTCATCGATATTCATTATCGGCAACATTTCATTAGGACAACTGTAGCTATTCAAGAAAACCACTTGTGGAATGTGGAAATCTTTGATTAAATCAACTTACAATATCAAATATCACCCCGAAAACAAAGAAAATCAACCCAGTTACAGCAAATACACAACACAATGTGAACAAGATTATCATCCATTTCATTTTTGAACTTTGTAGCTTTATATCCAGTAAAACGGCCATGATGAAGAGCGCGGTAGCTATAGATACAGAAATAATTTGTTCGTACCATTTTCCAACTGACATAAGTAATACAACACCGACAATTATAAAGATCATCTGAATAGAGGAAAAGTAGTGTCAAATTATTATTAGTTCAGAAGATGAATCGGTCAGCAATTAAAGAAATAATGAAAGAATAATCTTCACTGTCCTGCATTCGATTGAAATGCTTAGAAATGAATACTTATAGATACAAGCACATGGGAAGGAATGCTTATCTAAGTCTGTCATATTGACAAACATGAAGTAGTTTCAAAGCTAATTCGCTCATCCAGTACACATGACCATGTTTTGCGAGATTTATTACCTATAGTGTGTGAATTCTATTAACTTGGGTAAACCGAGAACCACGACAACTAGTGGTGACTGCAACTTGATGCACCAAATAATGACTCGTGTATCGTTAAACTCAAGTTCAGTGGCAGATAAAGTGTGTGGATGATTACACAAATGAAAATGACAGAAATCCAATTCGTTTAGTTGTTCTGTGTTTACGACCCATTCCACATCTTACAAATGGTAATATCAACAAACGTAGGTGAGAGTGGAATGTATCGGTATCACGTGTATCCACGTCTACATATTTCTGAATTATCCAATAACATGGACGAATACCTTTTAATGTTACATTATTTTCACCAGTTACCAGTTAAGTAATAGCCCATAAACGAACGGATCACCAATGAAATCAGTGAAACTATGGAAACTGGATCTCCAAACATATTGGGATCTTAAAATTCAACATCGAAAATCATCTCTTCAAGTCAACCTTCAAACATTCTTTTATCTCAATCACCGTTATCAAACTAACATGACAATATTGACATTATTCAACAAACAAATCTACAATAAATTCAATCGATGGTTGAATGAAAATACCATGAATGTAATTTTAATATTATAATCAACTGACCGTTATCACGATGACGATTGTGTTCATTGTGGATTTAGTATGTAGATTTTTAATAAATATTATTATTAATCCAAGAACTAATCCGATAAATCTGAAGAACAAAAGAGAGAAATGTACAACATACTAAACTCACATATACAATAGGCCATAGAGATATGCATCAGGTGTTCTACCTAATCTGTATGTATGAAATGGTTGAACAAGTTTCTCATTGTCTCAGTTCGACATTTTCAAAAGTTTATGAAACTTGTCAAAATAAACAAAGATTGGAATACTTAATGATTGGTCGTCTTGAATATCTTATTTCATCTTGAAAATGCCCTGGTATGGCCGAGATTGAGGAGAAATAGGTCTCCATCTCGAAATTCTCTCAGATGGACACGTGTATACAGCCACTGCCAGAAAAGTCCTACTCACTTCCCTCTCATGGCTGGTTTGTTGTTTTCAAAATTGAGAAAACAGAAAGCGAATGTCCAGCGCTTCAACCTGATTAGTGGACACGGAGAATCCTTTTGGGGGAGTTGGAAAACACTGACTACAAACGAATGATGCACATGGCTCCAGGATACTGTGGGAAGAAATGGCATGTGAAACTATTGTGAGACTGCATCTTCTGACGTTGCTCCACTGACTTGTGTATCAAGCGTTTTAGTCGAGGGCTCCGGGTGTTACTCCGTAAGAAAACCGCTTGCTTCGATCTGGTCACTCGGGCAGTGTCACAGCTCACACGCAAATACAGTGACTTGTGTGTCGTATATGTATTCGCTGACCATTTGTACCAATATTTATGAATTCAAATAAATACCTAAAGATATTTCAGTATGGTCATTTATTATGATGTGATGTAACAAAAAATGAGAGTTGTTTGTACTGGAAACTAAACAAACTAGTTTGCTGTTCCTCAATCATAACATTCTTGTCAAACACGGGTCAAATTATTTATAACAGTGTATTAATCGGTTCAATGAATGATACGTAATAGTAATACATGGGAAATTGTCGTTATGATTCTCGGGGAATACGTATGTTATAAACATATATTACTTACGTTAATATGAGACCACTGAGAACAACTGGATTTGTACACTGAGTAAAGCTGAATCTGTCAAATGGAATGAAAAATGTCTTACATGCAAATAGAATTATTCTGACTGGTTTCATTTGACATATCATCAAATTCGAATTTCATCATCTTTGAACTATCTGCAATGGAGATTTGTGGATAATTCACCTTTGGAAATTCACCTTCCACAATCACCAATTCTAACGTTGACTGAAATAAGTAAGAATTCACATTACAGTAATGGAAATAATCAATTTCATGGATTACGTAAAACCTTCAGTTTTCATTCCCATGCCTATTCCTTTATTTTTTCATTGTATTTCAACAGGTATGGATTCATGTACAGAATTTGACTTCATCTGCCTAGTTTGCTGTATGTATCATCATTACGAGATTCATAACCAAGACCGATAGCCGATGAAAATTGATTTCATTAGATTCACGTTAGCTGTTCACTGCATACAGTGACTTAAAGTCATTAACGTTATCGCGCTCGATCTGGTGAAGATAGTTAACACTGACTAATTTATTCATCTCAATAAATAATACTCAATGGAATTATGTTGTTTCTTACGTTAGTCTACTTATTTCACTATAATAAAGTTCCACGTCCGCCTGGAGCTCCCCTGAGTTTACTGCCGGTTCCGTACCACGATAAAGCTGGAGGGTTGAGCAAAGGGTTAGTGACCACATCCCGTAGAAAACTCACTCACTAAAAAACGACAACCACAGAAAATACTTCAAATCACTTAGGTATGAAAAATTTGTGGTTATTTGGGCACAGTTTACAACTGGATATCATACAATCGAAGAGTGACTGTCCTCCCGATTTCTGAGGGAAATACTTTGTTTGTATTTCAACATTAGAAGTGAGGACTCGTACCTCTTTATATCAAGAATAATACTCAAACACCCTGACTTACTACAATGAAGTTTGTACTATTAGAAATTCCGTAGTGAAAATAATGTCAAAGGTCACTTATCGTAGTGTAAGACTTACATTTTCTTATTCTTCATCTTCTCATGTGGCATTCTTATCAAGAAAAGTTTTCGACCTGTCTTTATATGGTGAGGCTAAATGCTTATCGCATCGCTCGAAATTTGCAGTGAATATTCACTACTCTTCTCCGTTATTCTTTCCGATGATTTTCAGGAAAGATTTTGTTGCACTGTGGAGAGCACTGAAGGCAGTGAGTAGAGTGTGTGGCGAGTCGTTCGAGATGAATATGAACATGATTTTGTAAGCAAAGATGTATAGTGGCTAGTTGTGGAACCCAGGAAGCGCGTTTCGTCTGTTGCTAGGCACAATCCGTCTATGCGAATAAAGCTTGTGACTTAAGGCAACACCGACGTAGTTCGCAATGGATGCAAATATGCCAACAAGAAACTGATGAATTGCAGTTCTGAACAACAGTGTGAAGATACAAGCAAACAATACCAAGTTCATTACGAACATGTTTGTGGACAGACTGCTGAAAAGTAATATCCTATCGAATATTTAACATCCATTTCATTCATATCTCTCAGCTTCAACATACTCAGGAAGAATGAGGCATCAAAAATGGGAATCTATAAGAATCTCTCCCAAATATGTAATAGAAACTGGTTGAAATCATTTGCTCTGAGTGATTTGTATTGTTGTTAGCGTATAACATCAAACGTAACCATTGTTATTGCTACTTATAATACAACTTATCAACAAATCTAAATTCAATCTTAATTCCTACCATTCGATAGAATTTAACAAACTCACATGGAATGATTCTGATGTTCACAGTAAAAATGATTCAATAAAATTAAACGAATTTATAATGAAATTCACCAATTACTTTGAATCAACTTTGTCAACTTATGAGTGGTTACTTTTTTCATTGAACTTTGATTAAGTTAACTTTGTACAGAACAACGGAATAAGTGATTCGATTAGAAATAAAACAACCACAATGTTAACCTGTTTATTCCGTTGACCACATAGACATATCATGTTTCTTGTGTTAGTTATTTGTATGGGGATGACGTCTATAAAAATCAACCATTAAATAGTGTACTATTTCTCACCTCATGATCAATGATAAACTGATATATCATTAGGCAGTTTTGTTAACCGAATCGTCAAGAATGATTTCTATGGATAACAGAATGTTGAGTGAGTTGTTGAATGTCAACCAAAACCATTCTGCCAAAATACGAAATTATACATCTTTAGGTTTATGGTTACAGGTGTTCAGGGTCTATCAACCTCAATGAATCGTATTAATCTGATCATCTACTCTGTAAAGCTTCACATTAATACAATATATTTTTACTTGCATGACTTGTTGTGTTCTCATCCATGAATGGTGAATGGTTTGACAATCCTATACAGATGGTGTTATTTCAAAATAAGAATTAACTGTACGGAACAACGATTTATTCACTAACCCATGAACAACAGTTGTTGGAAGCACACTAGTCTAAACACCGTCTGGTGTATATTTGATACGATGATGTATGCAACTACTGTTTACATTTAGTCTATCACATATGTGCGGTATATTTCAAGTTATATACTATTTTAATCCTTTGCATTATTCAAAACCACTAATTCACTAACATAATCTTACAGATCGTTAGATCGTTTTGTTTACTATTACTTATCATATTTTCCTAATTTCCTATTTGACATTACCAGAATTGATTACATCGGAACATAATAGTTACAAATGGAAGGATAATTATACGTGTTGTTTCTCTCATTTACATGATATGAGACTGGATGTCACGTCACGACAAAACTCATAACATCCAAGCATATTAAGTCGGTCTGTAATTGTTCATGAACACTCACAATCTACAGTTCGATTCCACTGTTAACCTTCATTTCATCATACACATACATCACGTTTTCTAAACATTGAAACATACCATTAGAATATTCAAAACATGATGTGGTAGGAGTTCTAAACAACTCAGCAAAGTATGTTCGACTGACAGTAATAATGTCATTTAAAGAGTTCTTCCAGCAAATTTTAATTCTGCGTCAAGAATTCACTTTGATGAGCATGTCAATCGGAACGTGTTATGCTGAACTGTTTTAAATTGCATATATTGATATTGAAGGGGATATTCCTCTATTAACTTTCAATGCTTTTACATATCTAATAACGTATTCAAAGTATAATTAGTTATACGGATTGTAAATACATTTTCACTGAACTTAATTCTTGAGTAAGATGTTGCATTCAACTACCAACTATTCATCTTGATGAGTTCGCCCAATGGTATTTGCAATGAGTATTAAAGCATATGATCGAACTCAAATGAATATTGAATAATCTTGTGGACATAAATATCACCATCTTACTCTCATATATTTGATAACTCTTTCAAACAATTGAACGCGAAACAACAGTCTGTGTAAGTAGACGGCTAGTCATGGAAACAATTTTGGTGATTAGATTGACTAGATAGTTTTCCTAAGTATGAAGTCCTTAACGAACATAAACATTTGAAACATTTGCTAACAAGGAAAGCTTGGTGATTACTTAGTCTTCGTAACTCACATCATCGAATACTAGATTCTATTACACAATTGCAAACATTTTATATGAAAATCGATTACCGTAATGATTCGTTTAGGTCTACTGCGAATGGACGTCATTTCGAATGCATACCTATTATAGCTAGAAGACAGAAAGTGTTATAGTGGTTAAGCGTGTGTTCAACAGCATCACTTCACATCCAAACATACAGTGTGTTCGTATGATGAGAAAACTACTTGTAGAATTCAATTAAAGCCTATATTGAGTAGGTGTGTATGATGTTTTACACTTCATTTTAGTTGTGTATCATTCTCTGTATTGACATATAGATTACGTCGAATGCTAGTAAACCATGTAGAGGTTCATCCAGTTAGACTTCCACAGAAATGGCGGATTTCAATATATCCGTCACAGTATGTTTTCTTTCAATATTCCTGTATTTAAGGATTGAAAACACTTGTACTGCCCTTTTATTGATATGAGCAGGCTCAGTATAGAAGATGGATGATTTTTTCAGTTTTATATATTATTTTATATAAGTCTTCATCGTCTTATTACTGTTCATCAATTTGATGTAATGACATTCGTTTGATGATCATTTTGCACTTGAATGATTAAATATTAGTAAGTATTACGTTATCATAAGACGATATTACTTTGCTTGAATTCATTGTTCTTTGAATTGTTCTACTAATTTCATGTGAAAAACAACAGTTCCCTGACACAATAGTTTATGAATCCTAACTTGGTAACTCATAGAGTTGTTCAGGTAGTTTATTGATCGGTTAGCTCACCAAGTGATAGTTATTTGTTCCATATGATGCTTACAAATAATTCTTTACTGTTGTATTAAAAACACTATGACACGTGAAAAGTAGGTCTTCCGAACTCATTACCGAATGTGATCTCTTTCACAATTACGAAGATTAGGGTCGTAAAATGAATTTCAAAAGTCACACATTGATACATAAAACAATCCGTTTGTAGAACTTGTTTACTATTTTTTTTGAAAATGTATTCACTGTTAAGTAGTTGATCATTCTAATTGTTAATGCATGTTTAACGTGTTTTAGAAATCAAGTGCGAACTAGCTATCTACTTAGATAAATCATCAGATTGATATGCATTTAACTATTAAGTATATAATGAATTTGATTTGTAGTGGGAATAGAACACTTTTCAGTCATTGAAATCATGACATACGTGTAATTTGATCTTCGATCAGTTCTGTGTGTTCAGATCACTAATTCTATTGTCAATTTTTCAAAGTTTGTTTAATATACTTGTGAATCGATTTTCAATTTACACTGGTTCAGCGTGTTTTATTATGTCAACCAAGGTGAACTTGACTTCTTTTGTATGGTACACGGGATCAATATTCCATTGAAATCTCAGTATAAGATGAGACCAACCTAAAATGATGTAGAATAATTATGGTGTATTCAAAATAACCCATAAGTTTATCTTATTCATTCTAATGTTCACATTTGTTTGGAAACAATTGATGCTTAAAATTCCTTTGATATTGTTCCGATACATCACATTGTATTCACCTTACATTTGTTCAAATGATAAACAGGAATCTATAAACATGAGTAATTATTAGTGTTTTGCACTGATTAGTCTAGTAATAAATCGTAGTTTCCAATAAACGTCAACATGAACAATTTCATACAGAATGGATTGATATAGACCTGTAATAAACAGCGATCACAAGATTACCACATTTAGGAAAACAAGAAAAACCTTGTCTTGGATCTAACCTCCTAAATGCTAATCATGCTATTCATTTGTATTGGTTTAATGTGAACTTCAATATAATAAACTATCAGATGTTTACATACTCCAAGATAGTTTCAAGAAATAAGTATCACGAATAACATCACAACTTCTAATTATTTTCACAACTTTACTTCTAATTATGTGAGAAGTATATAAACCAAGATGAAGTCGATTTTCAAACCATGATTCAGTTATTGTCACTGTTAGTCGAACTCCTTGGACTTTGTTTAAATGGATGGTTTAGAGAAAACTTTAGACAGTCTAATATAATAAAGATTAGCGTCAAAAACTCATTGAAAATCTTTTTAAAAACATGATGCATTAAAGAGCACTCTTCAGCTAGTAGTGCTTTTCCGGATATTACATATCAAAACAGCATCCACAGACTTTCTTATAGATGTCGCCTCACACAGTTTAAGAAATCATAATGATCGACAAGCAAATCTAGAGCGGGAAAGCTGTAGAACAATACAACATACAACTGAATTACTGAAGTCAAACACCCAGGTAACTGAAAACTTACTCCACGTTCTGTTCAGGAAGATTCGGGGGATGAACAAGTGCCGATGAACTGGAAAGAAGGATACCACATCAAGATATCAAACAAAGCAGATATGAGCGAATGCATTGACTACAGAGGCATCACACTACTGTCACAACCAGGAAACGTTTCCAACAGTGTTGTTAGACAGAATGAAGGATCCAGTAGACTGGATTCTATAAGGATCGGTCGTACGCAAACCAAATCAGAAAAATGCGGACTATTGTTGAGGAATCAATGGAAAGTAACTCGTTACTATGCATCAGCTTCCTTCACTATGAGGAAGCGTTTGACAGTGTGGATAAAAGCATCTTATACAATCGTCTTCTACACCATGATGTCACTGAGAAAACCGCAAACATCATCCGGAATTCATGTGATGAGCTATGCTACATGGTGGTGCACGGACAACTGCTTAAAGACCGTTCCAAGCGAAGGATCGTGCCAGACTAGACTACCTATTCTCCATTTTCTATCATTGTTCTCGTAGTCGACTGAATTATGAAGAACTGGACATCCGAAAGGGATGCACGAAATACAGTGGACAACGTGCATGCAACTAGGCCTATTGTAACAGAGAACAAACAGACTTCCGATTGAAGAGGACACTAAGAAAAGACGTTGGAGGTAGATCGGACACAAATTGTTGAGATCAATTAACTCCATCATATGGCAATCCATGACCTGGAATCCTGAATGTGGAAGGAATAGAGAGATACAAGAACAAGTTGTGCCGGGAATTGGAGGAAGATATCAAGAAAATAAATGGTGTTTGGAAACTCTGGAAAGGAGAACCCATTACAGAGTTGGTTAACATATCCTGTTTTGGAGGCTCTCATGCTCCTGTGAGTGAGGTAATAGGCATGAGAAGGCTATACACAATCACATTGTATGAAAGCCAGTTACGGCCAATAACCTTACGTTTTTCGACTGCTCACATAGCCGCTTCGATTAATAATCCATTAGAATCATGATCGCCATCTCGAAAATGATGTGTCAGTTCACTGCATTGGATCATCAGAGTATGATAATGTTATAACTTGAAAAAGCTGATTTTTCTTGATACAACCGCGTATAACTGTGCACTAGAACACCAAACCCTTCCAAGTCGCAACAAGAAGACAGAAGACTAACGAAAGGAATATTATTCCAAACAGTGTCAAACATAGTACAAAAATGGTCAGGTATTTATAGTTTTTAGTGAGAACGAAATCATCATTACAGTCTTCCAATCCGCGTACAGGGGATTATTAGCATTATCCAATGGGGAAGCTACACGTTGGAATTCTAGAACATTCTTTCGAAAGGTGATTGGAAGGAACGTCTTCGGCTCCTTATGAGCCTCTTACAGCTTCCTCGAGTTCACCGGTGGTCCGTCGTCACACCTCCCCCCTTTAAAGTCCGTTGTATGAGATTTTTTTCTTGGATCCACCTGAAACTTGGGTGTCGCATTCCTCTTGCGTTTCATTACTCTCGAGGGTTGTACAGCTTTCTCTCTGCGTCGTTTGTCTTTTCGATATTCGCGCTCATGATGGTTCTTCTGAGATGAATCTACGAGCAATTGAAATGGAAGCCGGTTTTCTGTGACCACTATACTATCATTTCTTTGCATTTGATTTATATGTCTTATGCATTTCCCGACATCTTTCCGGACTAGGTACAGCACATTTCCGATTCGACGTTCTATGACACCTGGTTCCCACTTCCTATTACCTTGATACGATCTGACAAGTACCTTTTCACCCACCTGGAAGCTACGATTGACCTTACGATTTTCATTCGTGGGTTTATTTGTCTTTCTGGGCGGCAACATACTGTTAAAAACTGTCCGGATTTTCCTACGGAACATACACTCGGCCGGAGACTTTCCTTCTGGTACTGCCGGATTAGGGGAAACTCTGTAAGACATCAAGAACTTATTAATCACTTGTTCCGGGACACCCTCACCTCCCCCTTTGACCAGAGCTCTTTTAATTGTATCCACGAATCTTTCTGCCCGGCCATTCGACTGAGGATGGTATGGAGGAGATTGTAGATGCAATATGCCATTCTCGTTGCAGAAGCGTTTGAAGGCAGATGACATAAACTGAGTACCATTGTCAGTCACTAAGATCTCTGGAACCCCAAAACAGGCAAACAATCCTGACAATCTTCTTATGGTACTCTCTGAAGTCGTATTCGGCTTGTCATATACTTCCGGCCATTTTGTGAAAGCATCTACAACAACTAAGTAATTCCTGCCTTGTATCGGTCCGGCGAAATCAGCATGTATTCTTTGCCAAGGCCCGTCCGGTTTAGGGCATGGTTGTGGCTCAGCTCTCGTTGGATTCTTTGCAGCCTCTTGACAGGACCAACAGCTGCGACATTTTTGCTCTATCTCATGGTCCATTGACGGCCAGTATGCATAGCTACGAGCTAGTGACTTCATTTTACTTATCCCCGGATGCCCGCTGTGGAACTGTTTAATGACTTGGTGTCGAAGATTTCTGGGGATAACGATACGATGGCCAAACATTATACATGAATCGACAACTGTTAATGACTCTCGTCGACGAAAGTATTGTAAGAGTTCTCCGTGTAATCTCGATGAAGGCCATTTATTGAGTATGCAATGGCGAACAATCTTTAATATATTATCCTTCTTGCTGGCCTCTTTAAATGCTTCAAATGTGACCGGGAGTCCGGAAACTGCGTCTGACAATATTTTGTGAACCTCGGCCTCGACATCTATAGGAGCTACAAGCACCTCTTCTTCTTGTTTTTCATGCAGACCAATCAATCTTGAGAGTGCATCTGCCTGTCCGAAATCCGTTGTTGGTTGATAATTTATCTTGAAATCATAACCCAGTAGTGTGGTAGCCCATCTCTGTAGCCGGTTTGCTGTATATACCGGGATGCCTTTTTTAGATCCAAAAACTGTCAGTAAAGGTTTATGGTCTGTAAGTAAGGTGAACTGCCGACCAAACAACATCTTGTGGAACTTTTTTACAGCAAATATAATCGCGAGGGCTTCTTTTTCTATTTGACTGTAGTTTCTTTCAGTCATAGTCAGAGATCTTGCAGCGTGAGCGATTGCTTTCTCAGAACCGTCAGGGTAGGCATGTGAAATTACTGCTCCAATTCCGTAGTTCGACGCATCTGCTGCGACTATAATTGGAAGATCGGGATCATAGTGTGTAAGGAGAAGATTCGATGATAGAAGCTGCTTCAGTTTTAGGAATGCTTCTTGGCATTCAGTTGACCAGAACCATTTAGTATCCTTTTTCAATAAGCAATTAAGAGGAGCACGATGGCGATGCAGATCTGGCAGAAAAACTCCATAATGACTAACCATTCCCAAGAAAGAACGTAAAGTTGACACATCCGTCGGTGGAGGCATGGACTTAATGGCTTCGACATTTTCAGGATCAGGTTTTCTCCCGTTTTTATCAATTATGAATCCCAAATACCGGACTTGCTCCATGTAAAAATCACATTTTTCGGCACGCAGTCTTAGTCCATAATCTGCTATGCGTCTGAGAACCGTATCCACCTTATTCTCTAAATCAGCACAGTCTGTACCCATGATCAATATATCATCGAGATAAGCCGCGGTACCAGGAATGTCTTGTAACATAGTGTCCATAACTTGTTGGAAGATTGAAGGGGCAGTCTTTACTCCAAAAGGAAGTCGGTTATATCGGAACAATCCCTTGTGAGTGTTTATTGTCAAGTAATGCTTACACTCATCCGCTACCGGAATCTGTAGATAAGCGTCTGATAGGTCTAATTTCGCAAAATACTTACCCCCATTCAGTTTCGCAAATAAATCCTCTGGTACCGGCAATGGGTATTGATGGGCTTCAAGCGCTTCATTTAATCCAGTCGAATAATCTGCACATAACCGGATACTTCCATTAGGCTTTTTAACAATCACTATTGGAGCTGCCCAATCAGAAAAGTTTACTGGTTCGATTATTCCACTTATTTGCAGACGCTCTAATTCTTGTTCAACAATAGGTAGTGCTGCATAGGGTACCGGACGTTTTGGTCTGAAGACGGGGGTGACTCCCGGTTTAAGAATCAATAGTGCTTTAACCTTTTTGCATTCCCCCAACTCTTCCGTAAACACTTGACTGTGTCTTTCCAATACAACACTCTTCAGATCCTTTTCCACAGGTTTACTGGTTCTCACTGCGCTGCATATGTGGTTAATGGGGTGATTTGCTAATTGAAGTGCTTCTATCAAGTCTAGACCTAGCAAATCTAGTCCTGGATTATGTGTAAGATATAAGGTTGCATTCGTTTTCGCATTTCCTTTCGAGACTGTACAACAAACCTCTCCAACAATATTTAGTTTTCCTCCAGATGCGCTGTGAGCTAACTGGGTTGTTGGGAGGACCTGTGGTTTACCGATAAGATTCCAAGTTCTCCGACTAATAAGTGTGATGTCAGAAGCGGTGTCGAGTTGCAGGCGGGCACGCTTTTTATTTATATCCAAGTTTACATACTTTCTTTGGCGGCAAGTTCGTGCTCGATTATGTGATACCAATATTTTGTTAGTTCGAGCACTAAATCTGTATTTCTTCGAGTAGGGTTTCAAAGAATGTCGTTTATGGGTTCTTTTTCTGCAGCAGTTTTCTTTATGTCCCTTGCGATGACACTTGCTACAACAATGTTCTTTATATGGACAGAACCTTTTATAATGCCAACCACCACAAGACCAACATGGAGATGAAGGCTGATTATCTGTGTGCGATGCCTTTCTTGAGCAAGAATCATTCTTTCCGCTTACAGCACGAACGTATGGCAACTGGCCATTATTTTCGACCATCGAAGTGTCATGCTTTAGGTTCACCAATCTCTGGCACTCTGCGGTTACTTCTTGTAGTGTCATATTCGGACATTGTTCAATTTTACTCAAAATTCTAGTTCTAATATCGGCATCTTCGGGAGATTGGAGGCTGCACACAAATACGAGACACTTAAACTGGTCTTCTGTCATTGCTGATAGTTTGAAACGCTCACATTCACGGTTTACTAAACCCGCATGTTTCACCCAGTCATCATCACCTGCTTTTGTCATCTTGAGACATTGATAACGAATATTAAACAAGGATGACTGTTCAGCAAAGATTTGCGACAAAATTTCAATCGTTGCATCAAAAGAAAAATCTCTTGGATTCTTTGGAAGGATAAAGTTACTGTAACGTTCATGTTCAACAGTTCCAAGCTTTCGCAAGAGTATTCTGACCTTAGCGGCGTCATCAAGTTTTTTCAGGTCGACCTTGAACAAATCTTCATATTTCTTGAACCAAGTTTCAAAAGTAATGCCAGCTGAACCATCAAAATTAAATTCATGGATAGAATTAACAATCTGGTCAACATGAGATTTGAAGGGATCATCTGTAACTTCTTTTTGATCCAGGTTCATTTTCTGCGTTAGCATCTCTAACATGCGCATCTGGAACTTTTCTTGGCGTTCCAATAAGGCTTCAAATTGTTCCAAGGTAAGTGACATATTGATACAATAACCCGTCGCCAGATGTTATAACTTGAAAAAGCTGATTTTTCTTGATACAACCGCGTATAACTGTGCACTAGAACACCAAACCCTTCCAAGTCGCAACAAGAAGACAGAAGACTAACGAAAGGAATATTATTCCAAACAGTGTCAAACATAGTACAAAAATGGTCAGGTATTTATAGTTTTTAGTGAGAACGAAATCATCATTACAGTCTTCCAATCCGCGTACAGGGGATTATTAGCATTATCCAATGGGGAAGCTACACGTTGGAATTCTAGAACATTCTTTCGAAAGGTGATTGGAAAGAACGTCTTCGGCTCCTTATGAGCCTCTTACAGCTTCCTCGAGTTCACCGGTGGTCCGTCGTCACAGATAACCCTCAGTCATATGTCTAAACGTCAAGAAACCATGATAAAACAAAAATTTACAACTATAAGCATCTATCATGTTCACACACTTACAACTTTTATAAATGGTAATAGTTTTCGTCAACTTTGTTCATGGATACGAAACACAAAGTCCTTAAACAACACAAAACATCAATATGAATTTCAAATGGATTATAAATTGACATTGAAATGTTACTTGAATAATGAATGATCAACCACTTGAAACTTTGTGAAAACCGAGAACAAAAACAAAAATCACAATATTGAGGATTTCGTTGTATTTGTTTTTATTTGATGAGATCAAAGACTTCGGTGAAGGTAAGATATAAATTAGATTACGATTAACATTCATTCATCACTGTTCTTTAGTTTGGAGTCGGAAGACAATAAAGGTTACGCTCGTAAAAATATATACACATAACTTATTCTGGCTTCCGGACAAGCCAATTTATTCACCTTTCTTGGGTAACATCTTGACAGTGCCAACTATTCAATCATCATTGTTGACTGTTTGGATGAGCATATGTGCGTGCATTGCGTATTTTAATTATCACCTGTCTGTAGCTTAATTTTATCTGGCTATAAATATTGATTAACGCTTGATTAAACTGAATTGGCGCAAAAGCTTTCTCCACTGCGTGTCATTTTGCTACTCCGCTTAGTTGTCTGGATCAACGATCGTATGTAATATACGTAATGAAAATTCGTTCTCGTATTTGGTTTCGTTGATTCCGTTATTGACCAATGCGAATTAAGTCGACCATTATATACCAGGATTGGAGGCCAGTAATGAATCAATAGAAGACAGTCTACAACCAGCTTAATTAGCGGAATACATAATAAATGTAAATGAATGAAAGAGTAGGGATGAGGTGTATGTATCTCATAGATAATTTGACTTCCATCTGAACTTGACTTGTTCGTACGCTACATTACTACTTTCATTAACAACGTTATAGTTTTATTGTTAAGGATTTTAGAACCGGTAACACTATCACATTATACTTTGATTATCAGTATTAAAGCGAAAGGAGCTGTATAAACGTGAAGTTCCCACATTCGATCTCAGCGGGATTCAGCACTTCTAAGGAATCTCATACTCAAACGAAACAGAAGTCTAATGCTTCCTTTCCCACAGTTATAGTCAAACCAAGATCAGTCATTAATGTAGAGTATGAAAACTGCTTTCTTAATAAACAATAATTGTAGTACACTCAGATATTGCTTTTGCAAACGATTTAAAAAGTTACCAGACATATTATGCAAGTATAATATACACTGTTTGAAACACGTTTATGTGATACGGCATGAGCTTTTCTCATTTCCATTCGAAGACGACTGAATTTCGACAAATTGAACGCTTCACATTTCCTGACTCCTTTAAACGAGACTGATCGAAACTACTGAAAGCTATCAAACGAGTTACAGTGGTACAGTTGACATCACTACATTTGTTTATTCGTTCCAGGTTTATATTTTTCCGTTACAACACATCTATTGTCGTCACACTGATCTTTCATAGTATCGTGTGTGGTGTTTTCATTTTATGGTTGCAGTAGAGCTTTAGTGAAAATATCCGACAGAAGTAATACTGATACCTGTCATTAATGCTGACTGCTTCATACAATTTCTACTTGAAGTTGTTGTAAAATGATTTATGTCACATATCAGTGACATACGTTTCATTGTGTTATTCTGTTTCATTATTAGATCTTGGTTCCAGTTTAAGTAAGTGGTGGACGTTGTTCCCACCATCTTCTCTGAGCTTCAGACATTGACTCACCGACGTCTACTGAGGCAATCAAATATGAAATTAATCCTTCACTGCCTACTTTTTGAAATGTAATTATTTGTTCTCATTTATCTGTACTTGTTTACACTCAAAAATTCACAAATCACTGATTAGTTGGAAATTTGGAAAAAGTTCACAATGTAACAATAATTTGCCAAACATAAAATTTTTCATTTCCTTTCCGTTAACTTCATTCTACTCCTCTGAAATATTAACAGAGAAAAAAGCAAGATCCATACGTGCGACAAGAGAACACCAACCAAGCCGATCACACTTGATAGAGAAACTGTGGGGGAGGTAAATACATTTACGTACCTGTTCAGGATCATCATCAATGAACAAGGAGGATCTCATGCAGAGGTGGAGGCACGGGTTGACAAAGATAGGACAGCATTCCTATAGTTAAAGAACTCTAAACAACTATCAATCAATATCAAAGTCAGAATATCCAATACGAACGACAAGACAGTTAGTTCTACTGTAAGGAGTTGAAACCTCGTGAACTAACACTAGCATCATCAAAAACGTCTAGCATAAAAAATTGCTTTATTCACAATATCTTGAATTACTAACACACCTACCACCAAGAAGCATGATTAGCAAAATCAAATGAATGTACTTGGAAGAGACAGATTTTCACAAGTGCCATCAACATCTGTCATCACACTCAATATCAAGCACGAAATTGAATGAGGAGGCCAACAATGAGTTTCCAGTAGCGCAATATGTAAACCGACAAACTCTTTCAAATCAACCCATGCAATTCAAATAAGTTGAGGGCGAACAACAAAGAGAAAAAAAAATTTATTAAAAGAATAAGCTGAATAAATGTAGAGAGCATTACGACGGACAAAAGTGCCCACTCTTCGTCTTCGTCTGCATAAAATTAAAATAACTGTCAAATTTCACGATTAATATTAGATCATATCAATGAAAGTCGACAGATTTCGACACTTGTTCGACTTGGTAAAAGTCGACATGTCAGACAGAACATATGCAAGAATGACTAGCGCATTTTCAGAAAGCTGGCAATCAGGTCAATTTGCAGCCACTGAACATACTGAAATCGGTACAACTTATCAAACAGAATTGTCATGGAGGAGAGTTCAGATTAAAGAGCGGGCAATAGAAAATTACGGTCAACGACAAACAATGAATTCGGAGTTCGAAAGGCTCTATAAGCTACTAATAAGAGGAAGAATTTTTTTGCCTACTTTTAGCTGGCATTAAGGCGTTTCATGTTGTCTGGAGGACTAATTAAAACCATCCAGCTTAAACAGTGTCAGTCAGAAAAACCAGTCATTGAAACATACGTTATTTGTTAAAGTCACGACACATGTGTAGTTGGTAAATACGATCGTTGTACAAACCATTCCAACCAATTCGGTTTGTTTTAAGTTCGAGTACAATCAAAATGTGCTTCAATCCAGAAATTTACACCAACAGACGAAGATCTATTTAACAGAACATCTATTATAAATGACAAAACAGTTTACAATAATATTCATGGAAAAGCATCGAATATTCGTGTTCAATCATTTTCTCATTTAGTTCCCTCATTTTTTGAATGACAATCGATGATTGTATTTAAGGATAATTGTAAATTGATGACAAGGATGAAATATTCATAAATCACTAAGAATAAACTGTAGAGTGTAGAAAAATGTTCTTCCTCGCGGTGTCTGTTCAGATAATATATTGTGTATATCATTGCCTGTAATTATGAAAACGTAGATGATTACTTTATTATCAATGCATCTATACCAATATATGTATCAGTGAAATAATTGGTCTTTACATTTATAAGGTTGACAACTTGGCAATTTCTATACATTCATACACAGCAAATGAACAATAAGTGACTTGTATTTTGATATGTCAATTATTGAGCCATTCAACTGAAGAAACGAAGTAAACGATAAATACTTCACCACTTAATGTTGAGCTTTCAGCCAAAGTGTTTCATGATGAATTTTTGTTCGATGCTCTGGATAGAAAACATTATTACTTCAAAGATCTAATTTCTACAGAACGATATCTTTGAAAGCATAATAATCAATGAACTATTATTTGTAGTTACATTTAATTATTCATTCAGAACTTACAATGAACGTTACGCAACACCAACAAACAAAGGTTGCAACTAGTAAACCCTTCTAAAATAAAGGAAAGAAAACAATTCACCTCAATTCAACATGTATCTATATGATTATCAGTGAAGTAACAGTATTACTCTATGAATTAACTCTGCCGATTTTAAAGTAATATGTAGCTGACTGACTGACTGACTTCACGTAAGAGTTCAATCTGTCTGTTATTCTGAATTTCGACATCATGTAACCATCTTGTCTAATGCTTGCCAGGTTTCTAAACAAGGAATTAGTTTCGTCACAGACCGTGTCATGTTACATTCAAATTACTAGTTCAACGAATGCGAAATCGTTGCTTGAAGATGTATTGTTCTGGTTTTGCTGTAATTGCCATTGATACACAATCAAAATATTGAACACTGAGAATCAATTTCTCAAATGATAACATTATTTCGTGATGCTTTATATTAACAACATACAGTGTAAACTCCACATCAGATTGCGGACGTTTACCAGTTTCAGTCCATGTGTAAAGGAAACTGGTTTCATTTCGCAATTTATACGTGATGAGAACATGATGGTGTTAAACATTGTTGTATTTAGAATGACCGCAAATCGATGCAAAAAAACATCCAAAGCAGCTGAACATGTATTAGAAAACAAGATTTCTTTGGAATATTCCTCGATGAAATATTAATTTGCAAATGTATTTCTATTCTGGTGTAGGAGACATTTTACCGGTAATCTATTGTCAGAAAAACTTACCATTTTCAATATCAACCCCAAAGCCAGGAAAATGAATCCAGTTACCATAATTACACCACACATCGCAAACAGGACTGTCTTCCATTTCCTTTCTGAACCATGTAGATTTACACAAAATAAAGTGGCCAAGATGGTGAACACGTCAGCCACAAATGCAGAAATAATTACTTCATACCAATTTGTACATGAAATTAGTAATGCAAAACCAACAAGCATAATTATCATCTGAATAGGAAAAAGTTAGTTTCAAATCATCATTATGTAATTACCATTAGTTGAAACGGTCAACAATCGGACAAATAATGAAAGAATAATGCTCACTGTCCTGCATTCTATCGAATTGCTTATAAACGAATATATATGGATACAAAGACATGACAAGGAATCTTTGTGTAAGTCTATCATAATG